TGGTCCAGCCCGCCGCTGCAGCCCGCCCCGCGCCCGCCGGTCCCACCGCACGTTCCTGGGCTCGCGGCCCCACAGCGGCGGGCCCCGCGGCAACTCTGACTCCGAGCGGGGCAGCCCTCCACGCCCTTCACCCGGCTCCTGTTCTCCGCCTCTCCGTCTCCCACCACTCTTCCAAGTACAAGACATATTCTTCGAGGGAAAATCTCGAATGCTGCTGGCCGAGGGGGAAAATGCAATGAAGTTGTGATGATTCAGGCCTGACTGGCCAGGATGGGAAAACACTCGCGCGTCACTTTTCCTTGTCGCTGCCCCCTTTTCAGATGTACTAGGCTGACAGACAGAAGAGTTGAAGAAAAAAAACCGAAACAAACACAGACCCTTCTGAGAAAAGCCTGTGGGTTCTGGGTGAAAGGGTGGGCTGAAAGAAGGAAGGGCTTAAATTATCAGTGAACTATCAAGGGTTTACTACTATTTTAGGCTTGCAAGAGAAAACTAAAAACTCATTTTGACAGTGTATTGCATTGGCATCCCAATCCTATTTGTAATTGTCCTTTTAACCCTGTCTCTACACCTCTTCTTTACAGAGTGAATTTAGCAGTAAAGCTCCCTACCAAGACACCAAAGCTGTGTTGATGCTGATTTGATGCGACCTGGGGCGGTGATTGACTCTCTTTTTCTATCCTTAAACGTGTCATAGGGTATATCTTATCCTCAGATGCAAGTCATCTAACATTTCTGGATCAGGGCTGGGTGAACTGCCACCATCATGCACCTGAAGAGACAGACCTCACTGTATTACAAGTGGTGCCAGGGCACATCATGGTCACAGGCTACAATTGCCAGGTCACCACTTTGTAAAAAAAAAAAAAAAAAAAGTAGGCGAGCCCTGAGTCACACTCTTACCTAACATAAATCTTTCTACCTACTTAGTATTCCTGTTTTGCCCAGGTGGCACATGGTGGGTGAGCAGTCAGTGTGTGCCTGCCACAAGAATGAGATTGGGAGAAAGTGATTCACATGCTATTTGTTTCTCGGAGGGAAAGTCACACAGTTCCCGTCTTGGGTCTGGCTGTTGGGGTGAACGTGTGGGTAGCAGGGAGGAAGCTCTGCAAAAATCCTTAGAAAATTAAAGGCCTTCCTTGGGAACTGGTTTCAAAGGCTGAGTCTAGCTGGTACCATCCTGGGTGTGCCACCTGAAATTCCTCAATTACAGACTCACTAGAGTGTTTTGTTTTCTGAGTTTTAAGGGGGTAGTAGGAGGGTTGGGCATTAAATAGATTCACATTAATGCTTTGTAACTTACCAAAGGATTTTCTCCTGGACGGGCTGCAGGATACAGCGGAAAGAGGATACAGTGTGCCTGAATACAAGTTCATAAGTAGCTGAGAGATCTCCAGGGTGTTTAAATTCTCTGAAACTCAGCTTTCTTTACTATCAAATCAGCAACAACAGCATATATTTTTAAGCTATCATAAGAATCGACACTGTGTGCTTGGTTCAAGGAAGACACTTAGTAAATATCCTTTTATTAATAGGATATCAAACAGTTTTTGGTCTCTAAGAAGTTGGGGAGGGGTGTGGAGGGAGAGAAGGCAGGCAAAACAGTAAAGGTACTGAATATACAATATTAATTTGAAAATTATAGACAGAATGAACTAGAATAACGCTTACACCACAGAAATTTATCACTGCACTTTTGGACTAGTTCTCTTCGTTTTCATAGGCTCTGACTCAAGAATTGGCTACTACTGACTCCCGTGGCTTTGGGCAAGTTGCTTAACTTTGGGGCCTCTGTTTACTTACATATAAATGGGGATAATGATACTTCCTACATTGTGAGAGTGTTGTGAAGGTGCCTGAGATCCTTGGATAAAAGGTAGTATATGAGAACCAGAGTAGTTATTATTAGTCTATAAATGCCCTAGGAACTATGGATGAAAGAGATTATTGAGGTACAAAGCACTGTGTATTATTATTGTTATCATTTATTATACCTTTTGTCTTTGCCTTACCATTCTCATTTCCAAAGATGTATTTCACAGCCAGACTGCTTCCAGCACTGCACTAAGATATTTAGCTGAGTCAGTCCTAAATTACAAAACGTTTGCGTATCATCAATTTTTATGTTTAGCATTCTGATGAAATAATCCTCAAAGACTCAGAGCATTGTTTCTCAACCATGGCACTGTTGACATGGGGCACTTGGTAATTCTTGGGGGTTTGTCCTGTCCATTGTAGGATGCTTAGCAGCATCCTTGGCTTGTAGCCACTAGATACCAGTAGTTGCCCCCAACCCCCAGTTGTGACTTTGCCAAATGTTCCCTGGAGGGAAAAATCTTCCCCAGTTGAGAACTGAGCTAGCCCTAAAATAGCTAATTTTGGTGATACACTTGCCCTTAAATAATAAAGGGAAATATGATGATGCTAACAAAGAGATTCATTGTAATATATCTGAATGAAACTCACTCTAAATGTTAAGTCTTACTTCATGTTTTCGAGGCAGTGGATTAGCTATGATGTGAAATAGCTGATTTGTATGTGTTGAAATAATTAACAGGATATTGAGGAATAGCTATTGTGCCTTCAATGCAAATATTTCTGGAACATAAGCAATTCACCCTCTAAAATCAAAATAATACATGTACATAGTCTTAGAAGGTAAATACTTTAGTTCTGCAAGGATTATTACAAAAGACAACAAAACCTGCCTAGCCTTCCCACTCCCAAAACCCTACCCAAAATTTTAAATTTTTATCTGTTTCTGCTAATATAAATCATCATATTAATTTTAATAGCCTTAGCACCTTCTTGATTTCTTCATTTTTAGACATATTTTTTTGACTTTCTAATAGAGAAAAAGAAAATGTAGTCTCTTATACTAACTACACACTTTTCTTATTCCTAATCTCCTGCTATATTTATATTACAATTTTATTAAATAAACATTTAATGTTTGTTGTGTTAAGACTATGCAAATATTGTTCACAGCTGAGCCATGCAGTGTACTATGATTGCATTTTTACAACTTTTGTCTTTTTACACAATTATTTCTTTTCCTTCAGCAGGTAAAACTTGTGATTTTTAAAACCATTTCATCATATTCCATATAGCAGTCACAAATTGAAACCCAGACTTTCCTCCTCCCAGTGTAATTAATCATGTCAGGTAACCTATCAGTTCTGTTTCTTTTTCTTGGAGATATCTCTCTTGGAGTCCTCCATCCCTGGATGTGATCTGGGTTGATTTTAAGACTGATGGCTCTGTGGTCATCCTAGGATTATGTTTCCCTAACATCCTGGGAATCATTTCCTATGCAAACCTCTTGTTTCCTGAATCCCATATTGTCCTCTTTCCTTTTTTCCCCTGTCATTTCAGTGGAGTACATCTTCAGTTTATTCTGGAGATAGGATTTCATATTCTTGAAGACCTTGTATGTTGGAAAACATTTTTAATTTATCTTCACACTCAACAGTTTGGTGGGGCATGGAACTCTAGGTTAGAAGTCATTTTCCTTCATAATTTTAAAGGTGTCATGGGTACCTGCTGGCTCAATTGGTTGGGTATCCAACTCTTGATTTTGGCTCAGGTCATGATCTCAGGGTCGTGAGATGGAGTCCTGTGCAGGGCTCCATGTTCATCAGGGAGTCTGCACGAGATTCTCTCCCTCTGCCTCCCCCCCCCCACACACACACACTGTCTCTTTCTCTCTTAACAAAAAAGAAAAAAAGAGATCACTATACTGTCTTCTAGTTTCCAGAGTTGATGCTGAGAAGACCAATGGCATTCTGATTCCTTTGTATTTTCTCTGTGGAAGTTTCTGGAACTTCTTACCTAGATCTTCCAGAATATCTTGGATTTGCCCTGATTTAGCCTTTTCTCATTATTATACTGGCACTCAGTGGGCCTTTTCAGTCTGCCATCTGCCCTTTAGCTGGGAAACTTCCTTATCCTATACCTTTGGTAATTCTTCTCTTCAATTTTCTCTGTTCTCTCTAGAACTTCTGTTAAATAAATGTTGGACTTCTAAACATTCTCTAATGTTTAATCTTTTCTCTCCTAGTTTCCATCTCTTTGGCATGTTTTTCTACTTTCAGTGAAATTTTCTTCATCTTTTTTTTTTTTAAAGATTTTATTCATTTATTTGACAGAGAGAAAGAGAGAGAGCTCAAGTAGGCAGAGTGGCGTGGCAGAGGGAGAGGGAGAAGCAGGCTCTCCGCTGAGCAGGGAGCAGGATGTGGGGCTTGATCCCAGGACCCCAGGATCATGTCCTGAGCTGAAAGCAGCTGCTTAACCAACTGAGCCACCCAGGTTCCCCCAAATTTTCTTCATCTTCTATGCCAACCTTTCTTTCAAATTTTCTGTTTCTGCCACCATTTTTTTGGTAAGATTTGTTTCTTATTCTCAAAGTGTTCTTTTTCCATATCATCCTGTTCTTGCGTCATAGATTCACCATCTTTTCTCTCCCTAAGGAAATTTTTTTAACTTTTATTCTGCTGGTCCTGCACTTTGTCTCTTATCTATATGTTCCTTTTTTTCTTTTTGATTGCTTTAGTCTTCATCTTTTGGGTTAGAGGATTTCGTCCTCTGTCTGCCATTCATTCATATTTAAGACAGTAGTGCTGAAAAGCTGCCTGGATGCTCTTTTGTGAAAAGACAG